GTTGTTGTTGTTGTTGTGCAAAGAAAAAAAAAGAAGTCATGAACACCTGCAAAAGATTGGGAGAGAAAGGCATGTTTAAGAGAATGTAACCTAAGGGCAGAGGCGGGCAGACTGGCGCCGGGAGGAAGCCACAGTTTGAACATTTAACCAAACACTCAAAGATTGGGCAAACCCTGGCGTCCAGATGCAACACACACACTCGCCTCGACAGCGCAAATTAAACATTAAAATAGCAGAGACTCAAGGGAAAAACTTCCCAACCCAATCTCCTATTTGGATCTCCAACAGCAGTGCTACAGGCGCCAGTCTGCTTCTTGTAACAATTATTTGATTGAAAACAGCCCTTTAGTTAACAGATAGGGAAGTCTGGGATCCCACATCACAGGGTCTAAGGCACAGGGTAGCAATCCTCAACTAGCCCAGAGAATCCCAGAGGACTATAGTTTTAGGGAAGCAGGATCACTGTGGAATTTGTGGCGATAAGATTAATTACAGTGGAGGTTAGTACCTCATAGTACCAGAGGAATCGTAGGAAGAGCCAGGGCATTACATTTGCTACAAAGCCAATACACACGTTCCTCGGCCGCCTTCGTAGTAAGTTATTGGCATCATTTCCTTTTAAAGGAAAATGTTCTGTGATCTCGAGTACCCAGAACTACAAGCTCCTTCATGTCTAGTGAGACAATGTAGTACGGGTAACACCGCGAAGTAAGCATGCATTTACCAAATCAGACATTTTACAGATACACAAGCAAAAACACATGCGCGCACGCACACACACACAGAAGGGCAGTTTACCCACGGGTGGCACAAGCAAACACTCACCGCTTATTCAGCCACACAGTGCTTTGCTGTCATTTGACATTAACTCAGAAGGGAATTCAGAAGCCTGGAGAGAAAGAGGATAAAGAGTACGAGATTAAGACAATGTTAAGTAGAAAGGGTTTTTGTTTTGTTTTGTTTTGTTTTTTTGAAGTAGTCCACAGACCAGCAAGTTCCATTAAACACGTTTATGGTAACAATTCAGATTCAAAAACAGACGCATTAACATGTCAGAACTTACTAGCAATTTCACGCACAGCTCAATCTACGGCAGATTCTTATGAAAATAAAGTTAAATAGCTCATGCGAAAGTCACCGTCTGGGCTACGTATCTCCTAGTGACAGCCCAGGCGACCGCGGGAGTGTGCGGCGGCGGGGCAGGGGCCCCGGAGCAGGTCTTACCTGCAAGGACAGGATGCTGATGTCCGTGTTGAGGGTGGTCAGCGGCGTCCTGGACGCCTGGTTCTGCCCGGGTCTCTGGTGATGGAGGCTGACAATAGTGGGATGCGAGTCCAGGGCGATCTGCAGGTCCAAGATGTAGTCGATGACGTGCTGCAGGATTTCCATCTTGCTCACCTTCTTGTTCTGGGGGATGCTGGGCACCAGCTCCTTGAGCTTGGAGTAGCAGTCGTTCATGTTGTACAGCAGGCTCATCGGGTCGTCCACCGGGGTTTTGCTCCGGGAGATGCCCAGGCTGTGGTCCGACAGGCTGTTTTTCCTAACGGACCTCACGGGACTGAAGGCTTTCATGCTGACCGCGAGGGAAGGCGAGACCGGGAGGGAGCTGGCTGCCCTGAAGCTCAGGCCGCCGCCGCCGCCTGCTGAGCTAGCTGCGCTTGGCACTGGGCTCGGCTCAGAATGAAGCCCGAGCCCGGCGGGGCGGCTTTTATCCGCACTCGCCGGGGCCACACGCTCGGGCTTCCCTTCGTCCCCATTGGTGGAAGGAAGCGCGTCCATCAAGCCGAGCAGGCGCTTTCATTGGCAAGCGCGGGCGCGGGGCGTGGGCTCGGTTCTTCCGCGTTCGCAGCCAATCCCCGCGGGGTGGGCGGGACGCGAGCCCAGCTGGGGTGGTAAATAGAGTACAGTACAGTAAGCGCGAGGCGGGCGGGGAGCGGGGAACCGGGAGCGGGGAGGCGAGAGGCGAGAGGCGGGAGGAGGAGGAAGGAGGGGGGGAGGAGGAGGGAGAGGAGGGAAGATGGGGGAGGGGAAGGAGGAAGGGGGAGGGGGCAGACCCTGGGCGCCTAAATGTGCATTCTTAATTCTAATTCCAAATCCGCGGCAGGACCCTTGCCCTGGGGGTGTTCCCAGACCAAGCCTTGCACACCTTGGAGCTGTCGGCAGCCCTAAAATCACGGCTACACGGGCGACTTCAGCACCGCAGGGGGAAGCCACAGTTCACTGCAACCCATCGGAGGGAGAGCGTGAGGAAAGATAGAAAGCATTTCAGAAGAAAGTGAAAACGCAAATTAGGTTGTCACTGAAGAGTCACGTTTGTAGAGTGAGTTCGTCTCTTCAGATAAGGAAAAGTTATGTTAACACAAACAAACCACCCACGCATGCATTCGACGACAGGCTTAGTGTGGGTTTTTGCAACCCGGAGCAGCGCGGGAGGCATTACTGTAAACTCAGGAAAATGAGTACTTATTGGAAGCCATGCCCAACCTCGCCGGTCGCTAAGGAGCTCTCACAGGGCGCTTTCAGGGTTCCTTTTCAAGGAGGAGGCAGGGCTATTATAATGATAGTATTAATCGGAAATAATTAGGAGAATTTGCATTTTGAAACTACATTTACATACACTGCCCTTGAAAGGCTGCCGGTCTGTGCCCTTCAGTGTAGGTGGCAAAGTAATGTGATTAATTATGCAAGAATTGTGATTTCTGGTGTCACATTCCAACACCTAGAGGAGTTTCAAAGCTTTGTGACAGATAGGTGGCCCTAGCCATTGATTAACATCTTCACACTAAGAAAAAAAAATACTCTGTCATATATGAGGTTTGGAATCTTTTCAGCACTAGTGCTGAATACAGGTTCAAGGTTTTTTTTGTTTTGTTTTGTTTTGGCTGAAAATGTTTAAGAACTCAGTCTAAATTTTAAAAAGTTTGCAGCTATTTACTCAAATACCTTGTTAATTCTCACATAATTCTAGCTTATCTAGAATTCTGTCCTGATCACAGTATGTCACTTTCTTGTTTTGAAAATATTTTCTCCAGAAAACAATGAACTAGAAAACCCCAGGAAAGGAAATATTCAAATCTTATTTACTTTCTGCCTCAATCTCTACCTCCTCTGCATTTCAGAAAGAGGAAGGGGCAGGCCTAGAGGCTGAAAGAAAAGCTCAATAATGGGGAAACTGTTTTTTCCTTCACTTAATGATTAATTTATCAGCTGGTGGGGCCAGCGGTCTCTGGCTGTCACGTGACAGCTGTGCGCCCCAGGACGCCTCTCCAGGGAAGCAGAGTGGGTGGCGCTGAGGTGGAGATCACCTTCCTGAAATCAACCCCCCTCAGTTTGGAGGAAGGAGGTGAATGGTTTCCTGTCCAGCCAGAAATTTGCCGAGGGCCTTCCCAAGGCCCGGCAATGCTGCCTGCGACTCTGTCCCTGACAGCGTTGGACGCACCGTATCTCTTCTGATATTAAGTCTGGAAGTGATTTACTATCCGAGTCCTCCCACAGTTCGAGCCTTTTGATGTACTTTGTGTGCATGTGTTTCTGTCACATACGTGCCACAGTGGAACAGATTTTGTTTTGACACTATTTTGGTTCATGATGTTATACTTTGACTATTTTACAATAATAGCCAATGTAAACAAACATCTTTGGGATTCTCAAATTATTACTTATGATTCTTGGACATTGCAGCTCTTCGATACTGACGCATTCCTAGCTTTTTCCAAGGACACCGTATGTTAACATCCGTGCCAGCCTCATTATCCCCACAGCCAGGCTCTGGGCTGGGCGGTAATGAGCATTGTGCGGTTTCACTTTACACTTTGCAAAGTTGATTAAGGCAGTGCCTTCTCCCATGATCATTTTTGTACCCTGATGTAGTAAAATGGCTAAATATGGTGAAAGTTTTCTGGTGTTTCTTTAGCTGCCATGTCAGAGTCCACTCTGCCTGGTTGTGTTGAATTCGATTCTATTGGCACGCTACCCAGTTTTACATTCATTTAAAGATCATTTAAAGGGGATTACGAAGCTGTTAAAGTTAATGATTTAAACAAGGCCTAAGTTACTAATGTGTCTGTTTCAGCACGCCCAATATGAAATCACCTTAAAAATTGCTTTCGTGGGGGAAAATCGTGTTGCAGCATTTTCGAGGTGGTTTTAAAGGCACGTCAAAATCTGTCAATTGGTGGCTTAGGTGGGTTTGCATTTGAGGCCTCCAAAGTTCAAACGGCCCCAGCTGGAGGGCGGGCTAGATCCGCGGACGGTGGGAAGGTGTGCAGGGCTTCCGCTGGTAGGTGTTGGTGCGGTCCCCTTCGACTCCGCACCGGGACGCCCCCACCCCGTGGCAGCGACAGACCTGCCCGTAAGGTCCCCCAGCCTGGCTCCAGGGCTCACTCACTCCGCCTCTAAGGCAGGCCCCGCGGCGGCTCTCGCGTCCGGGCCCCTTGCGGTAATCGGAAGCAGCTCCGGGCGGGGAGCTCGAACGCTGGCCAGGCCGCCTTTGCCACCCCCGCGTGACGCGCCGGGGGGCGGGAGGAGCCTGCGGGGGCGGGGGGCGCGTCTCAAGGTCCTCCCTGCACATCTGGCGCAATGGGGAGCGCTCGCCTTTCTTTCCCGGGTTTTGTTCTCACAGCTGTGTCCATTCCGCCCGTGACCCCGCGAGTGATCCCTGACAGGTGATGAATTGGCAGCGGCGGCGGCGGCGGCGGCGCGCGGGCCAGGCCGCGGCGGGGCCGGAGCCGGAGCCCCGGAGCAGACTCTCTGGCGCCAGGCGCGTGACGCCGCCCATTCACGCCGCCCTGCAGCCTTGTCCTCGCGGCGCCGCTCAGGCGGCTGCCATGGCAACCGCGCCGTCACTCAGCGCGCGCGCCCAGCTGATCAATGCCTGCGAGGCCCGGCAGTCCCAGGCTCGCCCCGGCCCGGCCGCCGGCCCGCGCGCACCTGCAGCCGCTGCACGTCTTAAGTTTCGAGTGATTTGGGGAAGGAAGGAGGACCGAGAAGAAAAGAAAAGGGTTGAGGGGGGGCGGGGTGAGGGGAGGAAGAGAGGACGAAGGAAAAATGCCAGGAGAGGGAGAAGAAAGAAATGTTCCTTTTGCAAAAGGAGGCATAATATGGCTTAGAGGTTGCCAAAGCAAAAGGTTTTGCTTTATTTTGTTTTTGCAACCGAGGCGTTCGGGGTGGGGCTGGCGCGAGAGAAGGGTGGATGGGGAGAAGGTCACTGTCTTAGCGCATGGCGAGATTTATTTATTCCTTTGGATGATTTCAGTTTCTCGCCGGATGGCTTTGATGCTGGACTCCTAAAAATACCTTTGAAAGACTGAAAGACCCCACCCCCGCCTCCACACCGTCCTACTGCCTAACTCCTCGGAACCCTGGGAGGTTGCGCATAAACCATTAATTTTTTTTTTTTCCAGAACAGTCCCTTTCTCTGCCCTGGGGGAGCCGGGAAGATGTGCAGCCCCAGCCCTCGTCCTCAGCGGAGCCTCGCGCGCGCAGAGCCTAGCGCGATTCGCGCCCTCATTACCACTACAAAGCACGGGCCAGACCAATCCCCTTTCTAATGCACCATTTTCGACTGAGAACATCAAGAGGCCAGAAACTTCCAAGTGAGCTTGCAGACGCAGACGCCTCCTGGGTCCTGGCTTTAAGAACCAGATGCCAACATTCCCGGACAGTTTATGGCATCCGGATCCCTCAAGGGTGCTCATCTGCAGTTGAGAGTGTTAGTAGCAATTATTTATCGTCTGCCTTGGAGAGGAGTTCCTGAACATAAATGTCCTCTGCTGGCTCTCAAACTGGGGGCGGAGGCTGTGTGTTGTGGGGTGGGGGTTGGGGGGCCGAATGTTCCCGGTCCTGTTATCTGGTTTAGCAGCATTTGTTGTGGTTTTCGAGGAAACGGCATCTGGATTACATAAGGATTCAAGTTTTTGCTTTACTTGTTTATTTAATACCTTGGCAAGAGGGAGCCCTTACCCTGAAACCAGATAACCCGATTTTGGGTTTAAAACAGGCTTAGATGAAGGGCCACTCCAGGGGAAGAAAATGAGCAAAGCCACAAAAAGCAAACGAGGGAATGTTTATTTTTCTCTTTTTGGATATTTTTGAAGACCTGCCTAACCTCTTAAACTTCTTGTCGCACACAGCTAATAAACGGCATTAACAAAGCGTTTCAACGACTACCACGGCTTAACAGTGGCTCCTCCCCTGCCCTGCCACCATTCGGGCCGTAATTCCTTCCAGGATTCCCGCACCGTCCTGTGTGCCCAGAGCTCTCTAGAGCACCAGGTAGAACTCCGTGCTAAATCCAATTGCTTGCAAACTTCTGATCCCCTTTTAGGGGGATCACTTTTCAGCTTTGTTTAAAGAAAGCAAAGTTTGGGAAGTTTGGCGGAGGGGCCGATTTAACTACGGGCACTGCAAATATTTTGTTACAAGTGCTGTGAAGTGCCCCGATTTGTGGCTGCGTTTAGTTTTCACAAAGGATTTTCCTGTGTCTTTTATTCCGGTCCCCACATTAAAAAAGAAAATTAACTTGAGCGAGAGATAAGGTCTTGGAAAACAATCTTGGGCCGCCTGCGAGCTGGCGGGAGCAGCGCTGGCGTCGCCGAGTCTGCGCCGCCCTGAGGCGCGAGTCTTGGGGTCCGGCCACCGCAGGGAGCCTCGGTCATGTAGGGACCCCCCTCCATCCGCTGTGCGCCTCCGCGCCACAGCGCAGCACCCAGGCCGCCCCCCTCTGCCCACCAGCAGCCGTGGGAATCCACCCCAGCCAGCGACAAGGGCGGGCTTGTCCGGAATCAAACTGCATCTTAATATTATAATGCGGCACCAAAAGCAAAACCCAAGGCCCGGCTTGCAGACCCTAACAAGAAACACATTGTGTGCACTTTTTCTTTTTTGGCTCAAGCGACGTTCGCGCGCCGGCCCCTCCGCAGCGAGCCAAGTCCATGACTTCAGTGAGGAGGAACCCGCCTGCCTCGCACCACGTGCACTCCCAGCTGGGGCAGCCACCCTGCTGCGCCTTGCGAGCCCTGTCACGGTCCCTGGGAAGGGCTAGGGCCTGGCCGGGACGCACTTGTCATGGGCACAGGACAGGGCTTTGGGGCACAGCCCTTCCTCGGCCAGGGAGGCAGGCGAACCCATCGCCCGGGCACTAGTATCACCCAGGCGGCGCCAGCGCGAGTTGGCTGGTGGACAAATGTTTCAATAGTTTGAACTCCTTCTTCCCGTTGCCGCATCTTTAAGGCGTTTACTCCCAGATTCAGCCTTCTCCTTTTAATAATGACAATTTGCAGACTTCTCCTCTCTAGTTAGAGGGAGTGCGTGCCCGGGTCCTGCAACACTCTAGCTGCGCGTCACCCTGAATGAACCATTCTGCGGGAGGGGCAGGACCTAAGGCTGCATCTCCAGGAGGGAACGTGGAGAGACATCGTGGGCGGAGGGGACTTGGAGGCGTTCCTGGAGGGGCAGTCCTAGGCATAGGGCGAAGGATTTGCGCTCTAGCTGGTGGAGCGCACATCGCCCTGGTTAGCTCTGTGGTGGGTCCTGGGCTCTTCCCCGCCTCTTCCTGCCTCCGCTGACACCAGGGACTGCCCTTCATGAGTACTCTGCAGAAAAGGCTGGGTAAATTAAGGCGTACGTTTAATTTTAACTATCATGCCTGGTTTTCTAGGATTCTGTGTGAAGAATACAGAGACAGACGTTACATTTCAAAGAAGAAAGGACGATACGACGGCCCTCTTTAAGGAGAGCGTAAACATGCACTTTAGGTAAAAGCTAATCTTTTACACGCCTGTGCACGGCACACCTCTTTTGCTGTTCGCCTTGACCCCGAGTTTGGAAAGACTGCCCCCATTTCAGAGAGTAAGAAACGCAGGCACACATGAATGACAGACGACTCTGTGGTGGCCTAGACTCCAGCCAACACTTCTGGGACAACCTGCCATCGTGCATGGGTGTGTAACCTTGACTCCAGGTGGGGCATTGATTACTCTTTTAACCTTGAAATGTATTCCAGTCTTGGACGACTGGATTGCCAAGAGCCAGGAATCTGTGAAAACAGTTTGTTCTCATTTTTCTCCTAAGTTAACACTGAGTGACTGAGTTTGACCCTTTGTTAACTAAAGGTCAACTGACATCTTAGGACTTTTCAAACCTTAGTGTATGTAAGAAGCCCATGTTTACACCCAGAGTTCTGTGACCACCTGTATAAATTCTGGTTCAGTAGGTTTGGTGAGCAGCCCACGATATAGCATTTTAAGCGAGCATGGCAAGGAGATGCTGATGCTGGTGGTGCGGTGACCACAATCTGAGAAGCTTCAGACGAGTAATTGGCCTCTTAAATGAGCCCTGGATAAATAATTGGCCTCATAAATGAACCCTGCGGCAGGCAGACTGCTGGGTGAGAATGAGCCTACTTGGACCCTTTAAGGCAGCAGTCCCCAACCATTTTGGCACCAGGAACCAGTTTAGTGGAAGACCATTTTTTCAATGAGGGGTTGGGAGGGTTGACGGAGCGGGGCTGGGGGATGGGTGATGGGTACTGGGGGTATGGTTTCAGGGTGAAACCCTTCCACTTCAGATCATCAGGCATTAGATTCTCCTAAGGAGCCCACAACCTAGATCCCTGGCATGTGCAGTTCACAGTAGGGTTTGCGCTCCTATGAGAACTAACGCTGTGGCTGATGTGACAGGAGGCGGAGCTCAGAGAGTAATGCTCATTCACTGCTCACCTCCTACTCTGCCTGGGATTCCTAACAGGCCACGGACAAGTACCAACCAGCCCACTGCCTGGGGTTTTGGGGACCCCAGCTTTAAGGAACTGTACACTTGTTTCTAGAAATTCAAGAGAAGGAAAATATGTTATACTTACCCACATTTTCTCTTTTTCATTTGTTGTTTTTTCCTTCCTGATGTTCCATTATTCTCTCTTTGATTAATTTCTTCTGTTTCAAGAGCATTTTTTGGACAGTCTTTTAGAGTAGGTGTGTTGGTGACATGTTCCCTTAGTTTTCCTGCATCTGAAGTCTTGTTCTTCAGTCCTGCAGAATATTTTTGCGGGATATAGAATTTGGGGTTGACAGCGTTTTTTCCTTTTAGCACCTGATATACTGTGGTGCTTTCTTCCTTCTGTCAAGATTTCTCATGATGAAATCCGATTTCTCTTATGAAATCTGCTGTTATTTGAATTGCTTTTTCCCCAATGTAAGTAAGGTGTGTTTTCTCTCTCCTTGATTTATTTGTCTTTCATTTTTGGAAGTTTGCCTGTGATCTATCTTGGCATGGATTTCTTTAGGTTTATTCTGTTTGAGGTTCTCTCAGCTTCTTTTGCCAAACTTGGGAAATTTTCACCCATTATTTCTTCACATGCTTTTTCAGCCCTGCCTTCTTTCTCTTCCCTTTCCAGAACTCCAATGACACTGATATTAGATCTTTTGTTATAATCCCAGAGGTCCCTGAGGCTGTATTAATATATTATTTAAAAATCTGTTTTCTCTCTGTTGTTCAGTTGGGCAATTTCTGTTGTTCTATCTTCGGGTTCACAGATGGTTTCCTCTGTCCTCTCCACTGTGCTTTGGGTCCATTCAATGAGTTTTTGCTTTGGTTACTGTATTTTTCAGTTTTAAAATTTCCCTTTCATTCTTCTTTACATTTTCTGCTTCTTTGCTGAGTTTTCTATTTTTCATGGTTTTTTTGCCTGTTCGTAATCACCTGTTAGAGGATTTTTCTGATGGCCCCTGCAGAGTCTTTGTCAGATTGTTCCAACATCTGTGTCACCTCAGTGTTGGCAACCGTCGATTGTCTTATCTCGTTCAAGTTGAGCTTTTCTTGGTTCTTGGAATGATGAATGATTTTTTCTTTTTTCTTGAAACATGGGCGTTTTGGGGGTTATGCTATGATCTAGAGCTTATTTAAATCTTCTATTATAGTGGCCTCTGCTGCCACCACCCTGGCTTGGGAGGAGGTGCTCCTCACGTGGCCTCCACTGACACTGTGGGGTGGAGGCATCTTACCACTGGAAGGTGACGAATGTCCCAGTTCTTACTCAACCTTGACAACCCCAGTGGGGAGAGGGCAGTGCTGATTATCCCCTGGGTGGTGGATGGGGTGGGTAGTGTAGGTGTTCAGGCTCCCAGGTGGCCTCTGCTGATGCTCTGTTGAGAGAGCTCGTTGCTGTCCTGCAGGGATGACTGTCTGCTCCCCGCCGTACCTTCTCTGACACCATCATGTTGTTCAGGGTGGCGTCTCCTGCAGCAGGCTGAGGGGGTCTGTCTAGCTTTCCACTCCTCTTTGCTGATGGGGTTAGAGTTGGAGCCACAGTCTTTTCTCTGGTGTTTGGTTGTAGTGGGATGGTTATGGTCTAAAAGGTTTTGGTTTCTTGGCTTCTCTCTTACAGTCACCATGTAACAAATGCAGACATCTCTGAGATCACCATGTAGTGAGGAAGTCCAAGCTGGTGGCATGAAGAGGCCACATGGAAAGGGCTAAAAAAGGGGCCAGCCTCAGTCATCCCAGCTGAGCACCTGGCTAGGAGTAAAGGAGGACCCCATGGATATCCCGCCCGGTAAGATGACATCAGCCCCAACCACCAACTGACCATGCACACAAGACATCGTGAGTGAGGCTGCCCACTGGAGCCTGGCCAGTGGGACTGTAGAGTAACTCATTGTCGTAAGCCAGTACGTTTGGGGGTGATTTGTTTCATAAAGTGGCCCCCAAAAGAGGAATTGGGGGTATAGAGTTTCTAGGTACAATCTTGTGCATTCATTGTAGTTGTAATCATTGATAATTTATTTGTGTGTTTTTCCTGAAAGTTTTATAACAACGTGATTTATAATGCATAAAAATATCCCTACATCCAACAAACCTGCCTTTTTTTTTCTTTTCTTTTTTTTTTGAGACAGTGTCTCACTCTGTTGCCCAGGCTGGAGTACAGTGGCATGATCACGGCTCACTGCAGCCTCAACCTTTTGGGCTCAAGCAATCCTCCCACCTCAGCCTCCCAAGTAGCTGGGACTATAGGCATGTGTCACTGCACCCAGCTATTTTTTCTTTTTTGAGACAGGGTTTCACTCCTGTCACCCAGGCTGGAGTGCAGTGGTGCAATAGCTCACTGCAACCTCTACCTCCTGGGCTCAAGCAGTTCTGCTGCCTTAGTCCCCCGAGTAGCTGGGACTATAGGCACATGCCACTGCGCCTGGCTAATTTTTGTATTTTTTAGAGACAAGGTTTCGTCATGTTGCCTTGGCTGGTCTTAAACTCCTGAACTCAAGTGGTTCTCCTGCCTTGGTCTCCCAAAGTGTTGGGATTACACATGTGAGCCACTGCACCTGGCTAATTTTTGTATTTTTTTGTAGAGATGGATTTTCACCATGTTATCCAGCTGGTCTTGAACTGCTGGGGTCAAGTCATCTGCCTGTCTCAGCCTCCCAAAGTGCTGGGATTACAGGCATCACTGCACCCTGCCTAAAGTGCCTGAATTTTAAAAGAAATACAGGTTTTATTTGTCATATGTCTAGTATATTCTCAGAATTTTTTTTTAACTGATAAGAACTCCTACCAGCTATCCCCCAAGATATAGAATTTATAACCCTATGCGATGACTGTATGTTTTGAATCAAAACCAAGTATGATGAATGGCTACCAGCTCAGGGGCCCTGGAGACACAAGGAAGCCTCACTGGGGAGAGGTGGCTGCCTGTGGGCCGCACGGTTTCCCGGAAAGGCAGTGAGAGCATCTGGTACCTCCAGACACTGCAGAAACAGTGTCACAGAAACATCTCAGAGGCGTCACTTCTCTTTATCAAGATTTTAAAGTGATTTCAACATTAAAAAAAAAAAAACAATGTAAAGAATTTGAGTGTGGAGTGATGATCATGCTTCCAGGTTAGGATCAGGCTCTTTCTCCCATTGTCTTTTTGATTTAAGGTGCAGGGACTCCTGGGATGGTGTTGCCCAGTGACACAATCCCAGTGTGGCCATTTCTGATCCCGAGAAAGCAGTCAGGAGTGGGTGGCTGCAGTTACAGTTCATCGAGTCCTGCTGGTTCAAGTCATGAGTCCTGAATTCCCTGGGAGGAGCCACTAAAGAAATGCAGAAGAAGGAAATCCTTGCAATAAAGTGGGATGAGGTTCTTTGGTTGCTGCTGTTATAGGGGTGGGGTGCATGTTGGGGCCTGGGGGGTGAGGCTGAGGGCTCCCCCAGTCTGTCCCTCCCTGAGCCTGAGCTCTTGGTTCCCACCCAGCCCGTTGTTTCTTTCTTCTCTGGGAGCACCTGCACCCCCAGTTTGCGGCGTGTCCTGGGGTGAGTCACTGTGAGCCCCAGGTTCCCATATGTAAAGGGTGGGTAACGCTCCCTCACCTGCTTCTGCACTAAGCCCTTACAAAGCCCTCAGACGGAGACTGCTGCTTTCATATCTTGCAGGCCATCAAACTGCCAGTGGGAAGGGTGCCCAGGTAACCTGCCCACGTCAGGACGGCCAGGAGATGGCGGAACCAGAATCTAAGCCCACTCCCATCTGACTTCAACGTCTGTGCCCCTGATGTTTGCACCGAGTCACCTCCTAAGACTTTCTGAAACTGGATCACATCCATTTATCTCTGAGAGAAATGCAAGCTTTAAAAAAGGAAATATTTACTATGGATATTTTACAATAGTTCCAAAACATGAAAGTTTTAAATAAAATATTCTTAACCATCCTCACCACATCTTCAGGTTCCCTTACAGCTACTATATTTTGATGATTGCCCATTAGAAAAATAGACTATGCTTTCTGTAGGTTTTAAAGGAATGGTGGTGAAATAGGGAGCATTCCTTGAGCACATCCTGCCTGTGGGCACGCCTCTGAGCACTGGACCAGGCCAGAAGAGGCCATGTGTTGGCTGCTTTGGGATCCCAGCACTGCCAATGGCAGGTGGGCTATGACCCAGGGAGAGAACATAGCCTTTTGCATTCTGTTGCCCCATTTGAAAATGGGGATGATAGTGGTGCCACCCTCAGTGTTATTTTGAGGATTTGAGTGTATTTCAGACGTTGTACCTGAAAAAATATAAATGCTCAGTAAATACGGTTGCCAGATAAAATGCAGGAAACCTATTTAAATTTAAGTTTTGGCTGGACAATGAATAGAATAATTTTTTTTTTTTTAGTATGAGTATGTCCTTATATTTTATCTGCTAAATTTAGCAACCTCCTCAGTAAATGATCACTACAATTGCAAAAACTCCTTATGACAAATATAGTAAATCTGTAAAGAAATAGGAACTTGCATTTATTTTTACTAAGCTCTGACTGGTTAAGATAACTGGGCAAGAGAAGATATATTCAACTAAACTTGCAGAATGTAGAGTACAGAGATTCAAATTTGAAGTCCTATAGGACTGGAATGGCCAGAGGCGAACTGTAGATAGCTTATGTAAAGAGTCCTGATTTCAAAAGTTCCTCAGAGACTTAAGTGGGCCCACAGACCCCTCCTGTGTCTCTGCATAAGCCAGCTCGTTATATCAGTTATAAGTTGATTTCCAGAGAAATGTACCCTGGAGGTCCCTCTCCCACTTGAAATAGGACTGGCCAATCTAGATGTCCCCCAGGTGATGTTGACTCAAGTATAGCTCCATACATTGGAGAATCTATTCAAGAAAACAAGCAAAAGTATTTGTGACTGAGTTAGCTAATGCCAGCTGGTATCTTGAACAAATCCAGATCTCTAACATGCTAGTTTATTTCTTAGTGTAAAATGTGTGTTATTGATGGGCAGACAGCTCTCATTCAAGCAGTGACAGATGCAAGCTCTTCCCATTTTTGTGGCCTCGTTGTATTCAGTGTGTGGCTTCCAAGGTGCCTGGGATCATCTCCACCAAGACTAAAGAAGAGGAAAGAGCTTGCAGAACTGCACTTGACTGGTTTTTATGGATCAGGCATGGAATTGGCTCCAACACGTTAGCTCACATTCCATTGGTTAGAACTGGGTTTCTCAACTATTAGTATCGGGTGAGTGTAGGGTTTTGGCACCATGGGCATTTGAGCTGGCCAAAGGCTAACCAGGGTTAGAACAAAGCCACAAAGCCTGTGAATGGTGTTTATTGTTGTGAGGGGCTGTCCTGTGCATTGTGGAATGTTCAGCAGGATGCTCTCTGGCCTCAGAGACTCAGTAGCTTCCCATAGAACTCTCCTCTCTCTTCCAGTTGTGACAACCACAGATGCCTCCTCTCCAGACATTGCTAGATGTCCCCTGGGAGGCAAAATTATCCTGGTTGAAAACCACTGTGTTAGAACTCGGTCACATGGCCACACCTAACTGCAAGGGAGGCTGGAAGATCTAGACGAGTAGTATGCCAGGAAGAAAATAAAAATGATTTAGAGGCTGCTGGCCAGTCACTTTCAGTGACCTTCAGCATACTGATTCCTCTGCATCTATGGGGATACTTGTGCCTGTTTCTGACTGTTTCCTGTGTGAGGGGACATAGTGAGAACTGGAGGGGTGACATGTTGGACTTGGGTAGGGTGAAGAGGATTGGAAATGACCATCACGTTTGGCAGCATTGAATGTTTATGACTATTTGAATAGTTGTGACAAGGGGACAGTGAAGGAGGAAATAACCATTTTTGAATACCCTTTTACAATTTGCAAGGCACTTTTAAAGGTAAGAATGAGTTCCTAGACCATATTAGGGTGAGAATGGACATTGTTGGCTCCCATATCATTGGGCAGGGGCTTTGAGATCTTTGTCTTAAAAAGGCAGATTGGATTTGGAGTAGAAGGAGAAATGTAAAGACCTGTACCTGAGTGTGTTTGCAGAGGGAAATTGTCATTTGGAAGCACAAGAAAGGGGATGGTCCATTGACGCATATGGTACATTGTGTTTTCATATAATTATACCTGAATGAAAGCAAGAGGAAACATGTAGGAAGCTGTTTATGTAGTCCTTTTAATAATGTTTACATGAGTTAATGAACATGCAAACGTATCTGATGAAAACATGTCAGTAGTGAAACAGCCTTGTGAAAAATCGGATCTTACCTCAGGCTGGAAAAAAGGACAGGTTTTCCAAGCTCACAAATTGCAGCCAGTGTGAATAGTAGCACAAATGACTTTGAGCTTTAAGACATCCATCCATCCATCCATCCATCCATCATCCATCCATCATCCATCCCCTCATCCATCCATCCATACAGCCAGCCAGCCATCCATCCATCACTCCATCTATCCACCCATCCATCCCTTCATCAATCCATCTGTCCATCCATCCATCCATCCATCCATCCATCCATCCATCCATCCTTCCATCCATCCTTCCATCCTTCCTTCCTTCCATCCTTCCATGCATCCCTTCATCCATCCATCCATCCATCCACTCATTCATCGCTTCATCCATCCATTCCTTCATTCACTCATCCCTTCATCTGTCCGTCTACCTTTCATTTGCCCCTTCATCCATCTATTCATTTATCCATCCATCCATCCATCCATCCATCCATCCATCCATCCATCCTTCCATTCATCCTTCCATGTGTTCAGCAAGTATTTACTGAACACCTATTATGTGCCAAGCACTCTCCTCAGAACTCAGGAAATACCAGTAAACAAAACCAACAAAAATCCCTCACCACCTAGATATTACATTTTGATGGAAAGAGACAAATAAAATTGGTGAGTGAATCACATAGGTTATTAGAAGGTGATAAAGGTGTAGGTGATAAAGGAGAAGTGCCAGGAGCAAGGATTGGGTACAGTTGTGAATAAGGTGGCACCAATAGGTTGCACGGAGAAGGTGACATTTACACAGAGACTTGAAGAAAGCAAGGAGAGAACATGACTATCTGGAGAACAGCATTTGTGGAAGAGGGGACAGCCAGTGCAAAAGTTCCAAGGCATGAGTGCCTGGTGTGTACACAGAACATCAAGGAGGCCAGCGTGGCAGAAATGCTGTGAGTCCAGGAAGAGAATAGCGAATAAGTGCAGGAAGGTAGTGGTGTACAGTGGGGTGGCGTGGGGGTGGAATTGTGGCAGACAGATGGTGTTAGTATAAGGCCTCTTGGCCCTTTTGTTTACCATGGCGCAATAGACCCGTGAGATCGGCAAAAACTAAAAAGTCTGACAACAGAAAATCTGGAAATCTGGTGAGGATGTGGAGCAGTGGGAATTCTCCAGTACTGCCAGGGGGCATGGGCATCAATCCCACCACACTGGAATGCAAAGGGGCATTCTGAGTAGAACTGAACATCTGCCCATCCTTGACCCCACAGTTCCAGCCATGGGCATGCAAATGAACGTGCACACATGTTGACTGCGGCGTTTGTTTGTAATTATGAAAACATCTAAGTTTCCATATATGGGAGAGGGGATAACATGGGAGTGGCCTACAGTGGAGTTCTAGGGAGCAGTAAAAATAAATGGATTAGAGTTGTACACGTCAAAATGGATGAAGATAAAAGACATGAGGATGAGAGAAGAACACCTGGCCACAGAAGTATATGACCCGTATGACGCTGGTATATCCAGAGCGTTCAAACAACACAACACTACTTATTGTTTCCAACATGAGTATGAAAGTATGGAGCAGTGCAGAGGGCCAGGAGCGCTGAATCCAGATGGTTACTTCTCCAGGCAGGGGCCGAGGACCAGGGCTGGAGGTTTCCTCCAGGAGCTTCAGTGGCGCATGCTGAATGTGCTGTTTCTCGGGCTGGGGGACAGAGACGTGCATGCTGTTACACACTCTACTGAAGTGATTATATAACAATATGCTAATTTATCGTGTAATAAATTTGACGAGAAAAAAAAAAACTATTCTGTGACGGCTTCCATGACTGGATTTCACGTTGTAGGTTTCTAAGCAGAGAATCCAAGAAAACCAAAGGAGCGGCGAAGGAAAGCCCCTCGGGTGTTCTGGGCGTGCCCCTTTGCTTGGGCTACTCTATTAGAGTCGAGCAAACCCGGGACTTGTGACAACTGGAGTCAACCTGGGATCCTGGCACCAAATGCCAGCAGAAACAATCCTGCCGCCCTCGGAAGATGAGACGAGGTTCTTTCTGGAACATGAGTGCAGTTCGAGAGCTTCAGGTAGGAAGCCCAGTCGTCCTTACCCTGCGTGGCCCACCAGGATCATGAATGGCGTCAGCCTCAGGGAGCTATGAGCCTGGTGTCTGAGACACAGCTTGGGCCTTTGTACTGCTGGAAGCACAGGGAACGCTGAGGGTTGATCAACTGCCTGGCAAAGACGAACTGGCATGCTCGTCAGTGTGAGAACAAAGCCACAGACCTAGGAGTGGCATTTTGCAGATCTGCTGTTTTTCAAAAAAAACTTGTGCTTGAATGTGTATAACATAAAATTTACCATTTAAGCCTGTGTGTGTGTGTGTGTGTGTGTGTGTGTGTGTTTCGAGACGGTGTCTCGCTCTGTGGCCCGGCTAGAGTGCAGTAGCTCACTGCAACCTCCACCTCCCAGGTTCGAGCAATCCACCTGCCTCAGCCTCCCAAAGTGCTGGGATTACAGGCATGAATCACCACGCCTGGCCCATGCAAGCCATTTTAAAATGGTCAATCAGTGGCATTAAGTGCATTCACATTGTGCCGCCATCACCGCCATTGACCTCTGGAACTTTTTCATCTTCCCCAATGGAAACTCTGCCCATTAAACACCCACTCCCCATTCCCCTCCCTCGCAGCTCCTGGCAACCACCCTTCTACTTCCTGTCTCCATGAA